ACTCCTATTTAACATGATTTTGAATGTGATTGCTTAATTCTGAACACAGCTACATCCCCAGTTATAAGAGGGTGTGCTCTCTTATGCAACCACTTTATTTTAGTTTTTTATGTTTACCCCCCCCCCTAAAAAAATTCAGTTTGTTTTTCAATTGAGTTGTACAGTTTATAGGTCACATTAAAGGTGGAAAAAGTTCTGAAATTATTTATCTTTGTCTCATTTTTTTACATCACAGAAACCTGACATTGTAGCAGGGGTGTGTAGACTTTGTATATCCACTGTATATATAATGTTGTGGGGTTTTCTAGCAAATAAAATGTTAATTTTTATATGTATGACAGAAGTGTCAGAATTGGCTTGGACTGGAGGTGGTTAAAAGATGTACAGAAAGTTAAACAGGGTCCAAAGCACAGAAGAAACCAGTGAGCCTATCCATACACACAAATTCAGAGGCAATAAACCCTAAATTATCTATCTTAGTTTAAAATTATATGAAGTCCCTAATTTAAAGCTAAGTAATAATTATTGTGTATATTACTGTTATATTCTTAAAGGTTAAGGCATGCTTCTGCAATGATTAGGATGCCCTTGGTTAGTCAGGAAGCTCAGTCATAGGTGGTCCTCTCCTCTCAGTCAGCAGGCTGTATCCAGCCTATGACTATATGACCTAATTTGCCCTCTGTTTCCTGTAACATCACTTTCGGGGATGACACTAAACCAACATTACAAGAGAAGCCAGTTTCCTGCAATCACTTGAGTGTCGTGGAACTCTGGTTGCCTACAGAGATTTTGACATTTGAGATTTTACAACCAATGTTAAGTGACTTAAGTGTATCGCTATAGCATACAGACCATTGGCAATGCTCATTTGCTATACAGGTTAGATTGCATGTGGTTGTATGCATCTTTGTAGCACTCGGTATGTTTAGTATTGTTTTCCTACAATTGTAAGTAGTTTATATATACAGCGTTTTTTGTTTAGTAAAAGGACAAAAACATACTACAGGGTTTTCCGTATCATTGCTTTATTGCATAGTAACCAAAAAGGTACAAGCAAAACACACATCTGCTTTTATAGCACATGCCCAAGCACACTTCTGGGTTTTAGCTGGAGTATTAGCCTTGGTTGACACCAGTGCAACTTGTCATGCGATTTGACAGTTCCAAATTGTATGACACGTCACACTCTACTTGTGCCTATGGAACCGGTCAAATCGGTGTGACTCCAACTGTTCGGTGAGGCACTCATTTTGAAAAAAGGTTCCTGCGCCATTTTTGGCAACTTAATGTGCGAGTTGCATAGACATCTTTGCATGGAGTCGCACAGATGTCAGGCAGGCCGCTTATGAAATCACATTGACCGGTAGCGTTGAAATTGTGCCACTTCAAGTGAACGGGGCTTATGGCCATGTTCTATTAACACAGCGTCCTGTGTGGCCAGTTAGTACAATCAATGTGGTCTTTTCCCTGTCACAGCTGAATTGATCAGTGTGGCTTTCTCCTTGTATCAGCCGCTCCTATATAGGTAGTCTTCTCCCTGTAAGGGGTGCAGCTAATCAATTCGGACTTCTCCCTGTGGCTAGGATGGGTAATTTCCTGGTTAATCCTGCCTGCTGCCTGCCCTGTCCTCTGGCAAGTGTCTGGTTATTCATGTGTGTTGTCTGCCTTACCTCTGGCTAGTTCCTGGTTATTTGTGTCAGCTTCCAACTGGCTTGTACCTTGGCCATCCATACTACCTATTGACCTATTTTGTCTCACTGTTATCTGCAGTCCACAGTTCTTTTCCAGACCTACTTCTTGATGTTGCTCTCATTTGTGGTCCATGGAGCTTTAGCAGGATGAACACAGGAGTTATGACCCTTAGCATGCAACAAAGTCCAAACCCTCATAAGGGGTGTACTTAAGCTTGGTACACACTATCTGAAAATCATCCAGTTCAGCAGGAACTGGCTTTTGTGGAAGGGACATGCTGAAAACCAAGCATCCGATCAATGCTCGCAGTCATTGCCTGAACCCTGATGCAAGTCCCAGGTTTTACCCATTCCAGCATGATCCTAATACAGTTCCTTGGTCTTACCCTTCCAGTGTGATCCACTATGGTTCCCACTTCACAGATCCTACTCCCATATCTAACATACTCCATGGTGCTTTTGTCTACCCAAATACCAGCTCTCAGTCTACACTTCTCAGGTACACCTACTACCTTTCCTTGGCTATCCATTACAGTGTAGCTGGAGGTTGGGCATCACAGAGGTCACCACCATGAAATGTGTTATTCTTATTATGCACTGCACAAGAATATGCATTACATCAAGCCAGATCAAGCTGCACTAAATGCTAGTTTTTTTTAGCATACAACGGAGTGCACTGGTGTAAACTGAAATCACAGTACATGAGGCAAATTGTTCTGTTCTTGTGCTGTACCACTGTTGGTGTGAAGGGCCAGTAAAGCATATCAAAACCCAAAAACAAAAATGTAATATATATTGCAGCTTACCAGTCCTTAAATGTGGTGGCAGCAATACTTCTCTTTTTTTTTTTAAACTTTTTCACCTTGTGATTCTGCCAGTAAAATTACTTTCAGTGCTAAAATGACAACACATCCTCCCCCTTCTGTAGTAGAACAACAGTAACCAGATAGGACAACAGGACCCCACTCCACTGTTATTGTCCATACCATAATGGAGAGTGGTTCTGTAGTCCTCTCAAAGCTACCCAAGAACAATGCAACTGACAAGACACAGGAAGTTTGCAAACTTATTTTTTTTTTTAACTTATTAAACAGATACAACAAAACACTTTCAATGGTATATTTCACAAACCAAAAGTGACCAAGCAAGACAAGTTCATGCTTTCAGGATAACATTTTTTATACTTTGGTAAACAAATGTTCTGTTCATTTTTGCATTCTTCAAGTGGTCAATTCAGACAGTTGAAATACATTTCACAACATATTCACTTCACTTTCACCCAAGATTTACACATTTTCCAACTAGAAAAATATGTTAAACCTGAGTAAAGGTTGTGTAAAGCTCTACACTAGTTCTTGAAACAAAAAAATCAAAGTTCTACATTTGTTAATTTTGATGATATTTAATGGTGTCAAATCATTTTTGGTCATTTTCAAACGCAGTGACAGGAAAATTCAAAGGAGCAGGATGGTAATTCTTCCCAGTTCAAATTATATCCCTCACTAACATGTGAGGCCGCTGGATGTGCTGTATAAACTGTGTGTAGCTGAGGCATGCATCACTGTGTTCCGGTGTAAGCCGAGACCTTCCTATCCCGGAACACAAAAGAGTCTGTCTGAGCAGCACTCAGAGAGCGATGTATTCTAGTTTGAGGTTGTGACATCATCAGCCCACCTTTTCAGCCAATCAGAGGAAGCTTTGTATTCATAGATAGAATACCTTGCTTACTATGAGTGGCTGAGTGCTACTCAGACTCTATTGTGTTCTTGGCAGGGGCGGACTGACAACTCATGGGGCCCCTGGGCAATAGAGGATCATGGGGCCCCTGTGTCTTTGCCCAAACTCAAACCACACCCAAAAAAGCCTATGAAAGGTACCAGGGGCATCTCATGGGGCCCCCTACAGACCCTGGGCCCTCGGGCAGTGCCTGAGTGCTCGAATGGTCAGTCCGCCCCTGGTTCTTGGACTCAGACAGGAAGGTCTTGGCTTTCACCGAAATAGTGCTGCATGTCTACATACAGTTCATACAACACATCCAGCGGCCTCACATGTTAATGAGGGACATAGTTCCCTTGGCCAAAACGAACCATGTAAAGTGTACCAAAAGCTGGAATTAAGCTTTAAGTGAAAAATGTAGTGTTTGCTTTTTGTTGCTCTGGGATATGAAACGATCATTGAAATGACAAGAGTATCTTTTAAACTACATAAAAGTTAGTGGGGTTTATTTACTAAAGCTGGAATCAGGCTCACTTCTGCATAGAAACCAATCAGCTTCCAGGTTTTATTGCCAAAGCTTTATTGAACAAGCTGAGGTTAGAAGCTGATCTGTTTCCATGCAGAAGTGAGCCTGATTTTGCACTCTCCAGCTTTAGTAAATAAACCCCAGTGTATCTGATATTTGAACACAAAGAAGAAATAAACATATATTTTTATTGTGGATTGTAATTTTCAAGTTGCATGAAAGCACATATTTAGTCACAATATTTGTTAAAGATGTCAAATCGTATTTATTTGTTGAATCAAATGTACTATCAAAACAGCCCTTTTGCTTTAGAGTTAATTCACTCTATACAGTCAGTAAATCGCTGAACAGCCAGAGAGATCCACCACTCCGGACATTCTGTGTTGCCGGCTGCGGTAGGGGGCAGTGTGATGTGCGATTCAGCACACCACACGGCTCCCCCTTTTTTGTTTTGAACAAACTTTAAGTGAAGTGTACAAAACATACACTTCATTCACTGCAATGTTGGGCAGCGTGATGCGCTGCACTGCCAGACATTGCACTGCAATTCAGCCCAGAGTGCTGCATTTTACTGCAGCACAACGCTAGGCTGTGTTTCAGTGTGAATGGGACACATAGGAAACAATTTTTTCCTGTGAGTTCCTGCAGTGATATACATTTTACAAAGCGGTAAGATGACTGTCACCGCAAATAAAGTCAATCGGCCCCTAGCCTAATTTAAATGAAATCTTGTTCTATATTTTAAAAAAGTGTGTTTTATTCCAAGTTTAAACGTGTCTCCTTTTCTGTTAAAAATGTAAAAACCATACTAAACTTATAATACAAACTATTACTAGAAGGACGCAAATTAAATACTCACACATGTTCACACAAAACTACAGCTATTACTGAATGTGGATTACCTTTAAAACATCTGTGTTGTAAGACTTGGGCCATGTTGCGCATCCACTGCCACAAACATGTAGTGATATCCCTTTCTGACAAAGATTTAGTAGAGCACTAATTTACTATTTACTATTCACTGGAAAGTCTACAATTACTCCAGCTCCTGTAGTGCTCATGTAAGGTCAACCATGATGTCTGGGATCATACTTTTTCTTATAATCCTTTTCATAATGGTACTGCTTGTATGCCTTATATTCTTTATCTTCTTTCTTTCCCTTGTCTTGCTTAAAATATTTATTGTGTTCCTCTCTTTCTTTTTTGAAAGACTTCTCATACTCCTGTTTTTTTGGAGAATCATATTTTTTTTCATTGTATTTTTTCTGATATTTTGTGTCTTTGTATGGCTTCTCTCGTCCTTCTGGGGAAGGTTTAGCTGAATCCTTGGGCTTCTTTGCAAGGTTAAAAGGAAAAACCTCTTTTTTTTGGGACCCATTTTCAGCTCTTCGGATTTTTATAGCTTTGGCTTCCATATATCTACCTTTAGACTTTAACCCCCACTGTTCACTTGGTTTTTTTTTTTCCTTTTTTTCCTCTTGCTTCTCAGTTTCTATTGGTTCTTCTAATTCTAATTCTGCTTCTGCTTCTGTCTCTGTTTCTATTTCCTCATCTGTTAGCTCTGATTCTTCATCTATGGGCTGTTCCAGCTCTTCTACTTCAGAAATGTCTGGTTCTGCAGTTTCTGGTATTTCTGGTTCCTCTATAATAGGCAAATTTGGTGTACTTGAGCCAAACCAGTTTTCAAAAAACCACGGTTCAGACGACTGCTGAGAAAGAGATAAGTTATCAGTATGAGAGGTAAAATGAATAAACATTAATGACTTCAGTATATCCACTGTATTTCCTTCTTTAATATAACTAGAGTGATTACCAGGGATATTAATAGCTAGTTATTGCTCCAAAAAATTAAAACAGAATGATCAAATTTCTCAGGGAAAACTGCTTTCAAGAACACTTGTTGCAGTTGCTTCTTAGGGTTGTGGGTGACACTTACATTAAAGTAGCTATGTGTCAGTGTGAGTGAGTAGCGAGCAGGATGTCATCACAGGTAGGGACTGTATCTAGATAGCTACAGTAAACAATCCCGATGCCAGCTCAAGAGAACCTGCTAAGTAAGACTGCTGGTGTACAGTATGTTAATACAGCATCTACCACCACCATTCTACCTTACTTGTGTTTGCACTCTGTGTCTGACAGGGGAGACGCATTTCAAAGATGTTCCTTCTTTGTCTTTGTTTGATAAAGAAGGAACACCTTTAAAAACCATTTCCACCCCCAGTACTGACCTCTTCCTTCACCTACACATGGATCATATTGTTTTTGGTTATTCTGCTCATTTCTATATGTTCAATACAGCACTCACCTCTGTGGAACTGTTTTATTTACTGTGTCCATTTGGATGTTTCTGTATCAAATCACTATGGGGTTTATTTACTAAAGCTGAAGAGTCCAAAATCAGACTCCCTTCTGCATAGAAACCAATCAGCTTCTAACCTCAGCTTGTTCAATGAAGCTTTGGCAATGAAACCTGGAAGCTGATTGGTTTCTATGCAGAAGGGAGTCTGATTTTGGACTCTCCAGCTTTAGTAAATAAACCCCTATGTGTCACTGCTTCTGTCATTTTTTACATTGTACCTCATTGTACTTTGTCACTTGCTTTTATGTGAGAGCCTTTCAATAAAGAAGTTCTTTTCGAGTAAAACAGAGCCATCTTTTAGGTGTCATATGCGATATATGTTAAAGCGGAACTAAACAAATCAATTTAACGTAGACTCACTTTTTGTGCTGTGCATTTGGAATAAACATCTCCTGTTTAAATGATAATACACTATCTGGCCTCCTCTTTCTGGGGCTCCTTGGAAGCTTTAAACACCCACAGAGCTGCTGTACCAAGTGTAGCAGTCGATACCGGAGAGTGAGTGGCACATGACCAGACCAGACCATAAAGGGACCTCCAGTTTTCTGAGATTGGTATTTCTAAATGCGCAGTCTGATTGCGTATCTGGTGAGTGCGCAATCCTATCATATGAATCAAATCACCATAATACCGGATCAGATCACTGGATTTTTGAAGATCACCACGATCTTTCATGCACCTTAATTGTGGACTATTGCTTGGCACTTTGCACAATATTGATCACCACCAAGTGACATAGTTATCACTTTTTATATCACTCCATTTAGATGTAAGCACTTTGTCACTGGAGTTTTATGCTTATCAATGTGCTATTTTTATGATGCATATGTGTAATTATTATTTATGAAACTGACACGTTTTCATATCACTAAGACACTTTATTTCAGTTTGCTGCTGTTATTTGATATAGGTGCAAACATTTGCCTTAAAGTCATTTATATTGTTATCTTAGCGCTACACCCTGCTTTTATTATTTCATTTGAAGGTTTTATGTGGTACCTTTTGGTGTTTAGCAGCTTTTGTAGGCTTTGAGCGCTCACTTGCCCTTTTGTTTACTAAATCAATTTAACGGTTTCCCAATAAAAAGGGATAAACCAAAAGTCACGCCACATCCCAGAGTAAATAAATTGAGAAACCAAACATGTTGTGGGATTTTTTAGGTGTGACCTCACATACCTGGTTTAAATAAAACAAATCTCTTATTAATACATCTAATCACATATAGGTAAAATTTCCATATTAAAAACAGCACTGTATAGCACCAATCAAATATAACATATTACCATCACACCCTTACAGAGCCCAAGCCCAAATGCAAGTATACATAAACACCATGTATTGTATTTACGCCCAGTGAGCCGCGTCAAGGTGTTGTCAGGCATATTTTTAATGAACTTTTTGTGGCACTGTTGTAGTAAATACTTCTTTCTGGCAGCTCGACCATGCAGCTCATTTTTTCTTCATGTATTGTATTGTGCTCCTTGAAACAACCACACTGTCATTTTTCAAAGCAGCCTGCATTTCTCCTGAACTTACCTGTGGGTTATTCTTTGTATCCCAAACAATTCTTCTTGCAAATGTGGCTGCAATCTTTCTTGGTCTACCTGACCTTGGCTTGGTATAAAGAGATCCCCAAATTTACCACTTCTTAATAAGTGATTGAACAGTACTGACTGGCATATTCAAGGCTTTGGATATCTTTTTATATTGTTTTCCATCTTTATAAGGTTCAGTTATCTTGTTACACAGGTCTTGTGACAGTTCTTTTCTGCTCCCCATGGCTCAGTATCTAGCCTGCTCAGTGCATCCACGTGAAAGCTAACAAACTCATTGACTGTTTATACACAGACACAAATTTCAATTTAAAATGCCACAGATGTGGAAAATTAACCTTTTAATTGCCATTTTAACCTGTGTGTGTTTCACCTTGTGCGTCCGTACCAAGGCTAAACATTCCAGGGTATGGAAACATTTGATCAGGGCCAAAATAAATAAAATAAACAAATATCTTTATGAATACATACAGTTGTGCTCAAAAGTTTGCATGTCCTGGCAGAAATCATGACAATCTGGCATTTATATTGAAAATATGACTGATCATGCCATGTCTCATATTTATGGATAGTGTTCATATTTGGCTTCTTTAAATCATAATGATAACAGAAATCACCCAAATGGCCATGATCAAATGTTTCCATACCCTGGAATGTTTGGCCTTGGTACAGACGCACAAGGTGACACACACACACAGGTTAAAATGGCAATTAAAATGTTAATTTCCCACATCTTTTTAAATTGCAAATTGAAGCAGAAAATTCCCTGGCATTGGCAGGAGTAAACAATACAATAGGCTTGGTGGTCAGTGGGGAGTAAATAAAAGTTACATCATTAGTGCCCAGTCACTGGTATCAGTTGGAGGAATAGTGCCCCATCATTGTTGTCAGTGGAAGGAATAGTGCCTCATCATTAGTGTCAGTGGGAGGAATTGTGCCCCATCATTGGTGTTAGTGGGAGGAATAGTTCCCCATGTTTGGTGTCAGTTGAAGGACTAGTGCCTTATATTAGTGGAAGGAATAGGGCCTCAAGGGCCAGATAAAGGCAAGCATAGGGCCACATCTGGTCTGTGGCCCCAGTTTGGAGACCCATGCTTTTGAAAATGTACACTGCCTTCTCAGAAATTGTGTCATTCTGCTGATATGATCAGAATGCTGCTCCATCCATACACTGGAAATAGTAACTGCTGTCTTCCAGACATGGTGCAAATTTGAGGAAAGGAGTTGTTGTTCCAGTGGCGAGAATATTATACAGTTGCAAGAAAAAGTATGTGAACTCCTTGGGATTACGTGGAGTTTTGCATGAATTGGGTATAAAATGTGCTCTGAACGTCATCTAAGTCACAACAATAGAAGAACACAGTCTGCTGAACATAATACTACACAAACATTAGATGTTGCCATGGTTTAATTGCACATAACATGTAAACATTCACAGTGCAGGGAGGAAAAAGTATGTGAGGCCCTAGCTTAATGACTTCTCCCAGAGCTAATTGGAGCCAGGAGTGAGCCAACCAGTGTGATGATATTGGATGTGTTGCTGGCAGCTGTCCTGCCCTTAAAAAACACACACCTGTTTTGGGTTTACTGGTTTCAAGAAGCACTGTCTGATGTGAACCATGCCTCGCAGAAAAGAGCTCTCAGAAGACCTACGATCGAGAATTGTTGACTTGCATGAAGCTGGAAAGGGTTACAAAAGTATCTCCAAAAGCCTTGATGTCATGTGTCCACGGTAAGACAGACTGTCTACAAATGGAGAAAGTTTAGCACTGTTGCTACTCTCCCTAGGCGTCATCGTCCTATAAAATTGACTGCAAGAGCACAGCGCAGAATGCTGCATGAGGTAAAGAAGAATCCCAGAGTGTCAGCTAAAGACCTACAGAAATCTCTGGCACATGCTAACATTTTTGTTGACACATCTACAATAAGGAAAACATTAAACAAGAATGGAGTACATGGGAGGACACCACGGAGGAAGCCATTGCTGTCCGAAAAGAAGATTGCAGCACGTTTGAAGTTTGCAAAAGAGCACCTGGATGTTCCACAGCACTACTGGCAAAATATACTGTGGACAGATGAAACCAAGATTGAGTTGTTTGGGAAGAACAAAACACTATGTGTGGAGAAAAAAAAAAGCACAGCACACCAACATCAAAACCTCATCTCCACTGTAAAACATGGCGGAGGGAGCATCATGGTTTGGGGCTGCTTTGCTGCCTCAGGGCCTGGACGGATTGTTGTCATTGATGGGAAAATGAATTCCAGAGTTGATCAAGACATTTTGCAGGAAAACGTACGACCATCTGTCCGCCAACTGAAGCTCCGCAGAGGATGGGTAATGCAACAGGACAATGACCCAAAGCATACAAGTAATTCAACAAAACAATGGCTGCAACAGCACAGAATACGCCTTCTGGAGTGGCCCAGTCAGAGTCCTGACCTCAACCCGATTGAAATGCTGTGGCATGACCTTAAGAGAGCGATTCACACCAGACATCCCAAGAATATTGCTACACTGAAACAGTTTTGTGAAGAGGAGTGGTCCAAAATTACTCCAGATCGTTGTGCAGGTCTGATCTGCAACTACAGGAAACGTTTGGTTGAGGTTATTGCTGCCAAAAGGAGGGTCAACCAGTTATTAAGTCCAAAGGTTCACATACTTTTTCCTCCCTGCACTGTGAATGTTTACATGTTATGTGCAATTAAACCATGGCAACATCTAATGTTTGTGTAGTATTATGTTCAGCAGACTGTGTTCTTCTATTGTTGTGACTTAGATGACGTTCAGAGCACATTTTAGGCCAAATTCATGCAAAACTCCACGTAATCCCAAGGAGTTCGCATACTTTTTCTTGCAACTGTATATGTAGAAGGTGATCTTAACCAGCAATGTTATACATCAATTACTATTATAAGTTGTTTGACAATCAATCATTCTAAACACATAGGGGAATGTATAAAAAAATAGAGCAACTGGAATCTAGAGCAGCTGAAGACAGAAGTTGATTGGTTGCCATGCACAGTTTCCCCACAAATCTGTCTGCTTCAGTTTTCATAAATGCCCCTAATGACCTTAGTTTTACCTGCTGCTCATTTGACTCAGGTGAAGTCCAAATATCATTCTCTGGTTCTGCCAGGTCATCCGAGTCAACAGATTCTGGGTTGAATAATATTAAATAAGAAAAATGGTATTAGTTATGACAGTAACAATAATTTCATTTTCATTTTTTTCTACTGGCTAATTGTAGACGAATATACTGTACATGACATCTATCTAATGCAGATCTGTATTTGCTATGGTCAACAAGCTGTAGCATAGAAATGATTAGATACATTGCTTGTGCAAAGAGATGCTTATTTACAGAAATGCAGCAGGATTTCAGTTTTGCTTTATTTATTGCTTAACCTATCACCTTCATGACCAGGGCGTTGTTTGCTATTCAGCACTGCACTACTTTAACTGGCAATTGCTCAGTCATGCAACACTGTACCCAAATTAAATGTAATAAATATTAATATATAATATAATTTTTTCACAGAACTTTCTTTTGGTGGTATTTGATCAGCAATGTTTTTTTTTCCATTTATTAACTATATAAACTAAAAAGGAACAAAAAGTTTGAAAAAAGAAAAAAACAAACAAACAATCTTTTCTACTTTGTTATAAAACATATCAAACAAAAAAAATTTCTGCTTCATGTCTTTGGAAAAAAAAATCCCAGTGGTGTATATAAATTGGTTTGTGCAAAAGTTATAGCATCTACAAACTATGGTGTATATATACTAGAATTTATGCAGCTATGATGATAATGGCAGTAATCATAATGGGACTGTGATAGTGCGGTGGGCAATCTGACACTAAAAGACCCTCACTAGGAGGTACACTAACTGACTGACGCTGACATCAATAGTGACATTTATACAGTGATCAGATATAATACTGTACACTGTCACTGTACTAATGACACTGGCTGGGAAGGGGTTAACATCAAGGGACAATCAAAGGGTTAACTGTGTGCCTAACAAGTGTAATGTGTGCTGCTTTTACCATTAGGTCTGGCCAGATCCGTGCTCTGTGTACAGAGTCCTGTGTGTTTGTAAATACAGGACTCTGTGCTGTGATTGGACAAAGCCAACATAAGTCATTGGCTGACATATGCTGACAAAATTGCATTGTGTCCAACTGCAGCACGGTTCCCCAAACCCAGAAGCAAACTTGCAATGTTTATTTATGTGGCTGAGCCTACAACTGCCGCCCAGTCACAGTAAATCTACTGCGATCGGGTGGCAAGTGGTTAAAATGAAGTAGCATAATAAAAACAATATATATTTTTTAATAAATGGCAATGGCCGCAATCATGAAGGCAAAAGGAAAATGGAAAGTTTTCCCTTTGGATAAAGTGATATTAAACCCAAAAACAAAAATGTAATTTATTGCAGTGTAGCAAACCTTAACTAGTTGAGGACATTGGGACTGTTACGCATACCCATAAAAAAACTCCATCAAAGTACACAGGGAGCATGTAGTACACCCAGTCTTTCTTTCCCACTGCTATGCCCCCACTTCCTGGAAATGCTTGCTGTGACTGACCACCTCTGTCAAACAGTGCCTCCTTCCCTCCAAACCCTTCCAGCAGACCAACAGCTAATACCAGCCCTTTACCCTAAGCATCACGGCAAGCCCAGTGGTGGCAGCCCTGGATGTCACTGCTATCCCTAACAGCTGGAAGGGCAGACCAACTGGGATGGGTGGTGAGGGTAGTGCAGGAGGCCTAGACAGTTGGTGGTAGTAGGGGATTCTATAATCAGAAGGACTGATAGAATAATGTTTTGCCAGGATTGCCTCAACCGAATAGTTTGCTGCCTCCCTGGTGCCAGGGTTTGGCATGTGGTGGACCATGTTGATAAATTACTGGGAGGGGCTGGGCATGACTCAGCTGTCTTGGTCTATGTTGGAACCAATGACAGAATACATGGAAGGTGGGGGCTTCTTAAGAATCAATTTAAAGAACTAGGCTACAAGTTGCAGGGAAGGACCTCCAAGGTGATATTCTCTGAAATATTACCCGTGCCATGCGCAACTCAGGAAAGACAGGGGGAGATTAGAGAACTCAATGCATGGCAAAGACCTGGTGTAAGAGGGAAGGATTTGGGTTTCTAGAGCACTGGGCTGACTTTTCATTGGGGTGCAGCCTATATGCTAGAGATGGTTTGCACCTAAATGGAAGGGGTCTGCATTGCTGGGGGAGAGGTTTATGGGAAGGCTGGAAGAGTATTTAAACTAGGATCGAGGGGGGAGGAAGAATTCGATTACAACAGGGTAGACAGATCAGACAGGGGTCAGATATTTATTGGTGGGTGGAATGGGGAAAGATGGGGGGAGCGCTATGGCAGATGATAAGAAGGTTCCCATGTTACAAACAACCAGTGGAATTGGTACCATTTGTATGAAAATAAAAAATATGCAAAATACGTGGGTACAAAATGTGTCAATAAATTAAAGTGTTTGTTCACCAATGCCAGAAGACTGCCAAGCAAAATCTGTGAGTTGGAAGCTTTAGTGCATGAACATAACTGCTTTAATTGGTATTGCTGAATCTTGGCTTCATTCTTCACATGACTGGACCATTAATATTCCTTGCTATGTTCTCTTTCGGAGAGACAGGGTAAATAGGAGAGGTGGTGGTGTCTGTCTCTATGTAAAAGTGATCTCAGAGCAAGTGTGAAAGAGAAATTAGTTGATGGAGAGTGTGATGAGGCTGAAGCATTATGGGTGGAACTGCACATGGGGGTACATACTACAAAGGTAATCACTGGAGTTTGTTATAGGCCTCCCAGTGTTAATGAGGAGGTGGAGACTCAGCTCCTTGCACAGATCAAAAGGGCTGCAAGGGCTGGGAGAGTGACAATAATGGGGGATTTTAACTACCTGGAAATTGACTGGAGTAATGGTACTGCAGGAACAGTTAAAGGGCAAAAATGTTTAAACCTACTACAGGACAATTTTATGGTACAGTTCATAGAGGCCCCAACTAGGAATGATGCTCTGCTGGACCTGGTAATCTCAAACCATGCAGAGCTTATTACGAATGTCAATATAAAAGAACATCTTGGTAGCAGTGACCATAACATAATTTCATTTATTGTTAGCTGTAAACAGCAAGAACATACGGGAAAAATAAAAATGCTCAATTTTAAGAGAGCTAATTTTCTAAGGCTGAGAGCTGCTCTCCAAGACTTAGACTGGGAGGGAATATTGGCATCAATGAACACAACACAGAAATGGGAGTTCTTCAAAAAGATTGTATGTGAACACACTGCAAAATATATTCTCATGGGCAACAAGTTTAAAAGGCGAAAAATCAAACCTATGTGGCTTACGGCCAAAGTTAAAAAAGCTATAGATAATAAGAAAAGAGCTTTTTTTAAATATAAAAATGAAGGAATGCTATCATTGTTTAATCATTACAAAGAATATAACAGAATATGCAAAAAGGAAATAAAGGCCACAAAAACTGAAAACGAACCACAAACTGCAAACGATAGTAGGACTAACCCAAAGAAATTCTTCAAATATATTAATAGTAAAAAGGTCCGGTCCGAGCATGTAGGCCCTTTACAAAATAATCTAGATTGGGTGACTGGGGACAAAGAGAAGGCAAATTTATTAAATACCTTCTTCAGCTCTGTGTATACACAGGAGCTTGAGTGAGCTCTTGTCCATAATGGGCATGGTATTGACACAGCTCCAGATGATCCACATTGGCTCACAATTGATATGATCCAAAAATATTTAGACAGAATAAAGGTGAATAAAGCACCTGGATCATATGGCTTACACTCAAAGGGCCTTAAAGAATTGAGCTCTGTCATTTCAAAAGCCATTGTTTATAACTTTTAGGGACTCTTTAATGACTGGCATAGTACCACTGGATTGGCATAAGGTCAATGTGGTGCCAATATTTTAAAAGGGGTCAAAATCTTTACCAAGTAATTATAGACCTGTTAATTTAACTTCTATAGTTGGGAAGATACTGGAGAGTAAAATAAAAGACCACATAGTTGAGTTAGTCTTGCTGGAAAAAATATTTTAAGCAACATTCGCAACAGCATGGATTCATGAAAGACAGAAGTTGTCAAACAAATCTGATTTCTTTTTATGAGGAGGTGAGCAAAACCCTTGGGTGGCTGTGGATGTGGTATACTTGGATTTTTCAAAAGTTTTTGACACAGTTCCCCACACATGATGGCTAATGTGTAAGGTCAAGTCTACAGGCTTGGAAAAATCCATATGTAAATGGATAGAAAACTGGCTAAAAGATCGTATTCAGAGAGTAGTGGATAATGATTCATACTCTGAATGGTCTAGGGTTGTCAGTGGTGTACCCCAGGGTTCAGTGTTGGGACCCTTACTTTTTAATATATTTATAAACGATATAGGGTCTAGGGATTAAAAATACAATTTCACTCTTTGCAGATGACACCAAGCTGTGCAGTGGAATAACATCCTTACAGGATGTCTCCACAAGCCAATCTCAATGCACTGTTTAATTGGGCAACTATGTGGCAAATGAGGTTTAATGTGATAAATGTAAGGTTATGCACTTGGGGGCTAAGATATGCATGTATCATACATACTAGGTGGGGTACAACTGGGGGAATCAATGGTGGAGAAGGATCTGGGAGTCCTGGTAGATTACAAGCTTAATAATGGCATGCAATGCCAAGCTGCGGTTTCTAAAGCAAGCAAAATCCTCTCTTGTATTAAAAGAGGTATGGACTCCAGAGAGAGAACCCCTGTACAAATCATTAGTAACACCTCATCTGGAATATGCAGTTCAATTTTGGGCACCAATTCGCAAAAAGAACATTGGGGAACTGGAGAAAGTAGAGAGAAGGGCAACCAAACTGATAAGAGGCATGGAGGAGCTCAGCTATTAGGAAAGATTAGAGGAACTGAATTTATTCTCTCTTGAGAAGAGGAGATTAAGGGAAGATATGATCAACATGTATAAATACATCAGTAGTTCATATAGTGAACTCGGTGTAGAGCTATTCACCCTGAGGTCATCACAGAGGACAAGGGGGCACTCTTTACGTCTGGAGGAAAAGAAATGTAATCTCCAAACATGGAAAGGTTTCTTCACAGTAACAGCTGTGAAAATGGGGAATAGACTCCCTCAATGAGTTGATTCTGGGCAGCTCAATGGATTGCTTTAACCACCTCCCGCCCGCCATATAGTCCAATGACGGGCACAAGCTGGTTCTCTCGTTCTGAGAGGACGTCATATGACGTCCTCCCATTCTCACCGCGCATGCGCAGCTCAGGGATACAATGGATCACCGATCACGGAAAGAGCCGAAGATGTCGGCTCGGTCATGTGATCAGCTGTGTCCAATCTCAGCTGACCCCAATCACAGCTGATCACATGTAAACACGGAAATGCCGATTATCGGCATTTCTCTCCTCTCGTGCTGTCACGCTGACAGCTCGAGAGGAGAGGAGAGCCGGTAATCGGCTTTCCGCGGAGGGGACATGTACACTGATCATCAGGGCACTGATGATCAGTGTGCCCTGATGATCAGTGTAGCCCCAGCAGTGCCACCTGTCAAAGTCCATCAGTGCCAGCTATCAGTGCGATCAGTGCCACGTGCCAGTGCCTATCAGTGCCACATATCAGTGCATATCAGTGCACATCAATGCCACATATCAGTGCCCATATGAGCTGCCTTTCAGTGCCATCCATCAGTGCCAGTCAGTGCCACCTATCAATGCCAATCAGTGCCACCTATCAGTGCTGCCTATCAGTGCCAGTCAGTGCCGCCTATCAGTGCCAGTCAGTGCTGCCTATCAGTGTGCATCAGTGCCAGTGCCAGTGCCGCCTAACAGTGCCAGTCAGTGCCGCCTAACAGTGCCATATATCAGTGCCATATATCAATGCCACGTATCAGTGCTGCCTTTCAGTGCCCATCAGTGATGCCTGTCAATGCCCATCAGTGCCCATCAGTGCCACCTATAAGTGTCCATCAGTGCAGCCTATCAGTGCCCATCACTGCAGCCTCATTAGTGCACATCAGTGAAGGAGAAAAATCATTTATTTACAAATTTTTATAATAAAAAAAACGTTTGTTTTCAAAATTTTCTGTGGTTTTTGGTTTGTTTAAGAAAAAATAAAAAACCCAGAGGTGATTAAATACCACCAAAAGAAAGCTCTGTCACAAAAAATGATAATTTCATATGGGTACAGTGTTGCATGACTGTGCAATTGTCATTCAAATTGCGACAGCGTTGAAAGCTGGAAATTGGCCTGGGCAGGAAGGGGGTATAAGTGCCCAGTAGGCTAGTGGTTAAAAAAGGCCTGGATTCTTTCTTGGATACACAGAATATAACTGGTTATTATTTATAGGTAAAGTTGATCCAGGGAATATCTGATTGCCTCTTGGGGGATCAGGAAGGAATTGGATCATGCTTTGCTGGGTTTTTTGCAAATTGGATCATGCTTTGCTGGGTTTTTTGCCTTCCTCTGGATCAACTGTGGGCAGGGGCGGACTGACAACTCATGGGGCCCCCGGGCAAGGGGATCATGGGGCCCCTGTGTCCTTGCCCAAACTCAAAAAAGCCTATGAAAAAGGTACCAGGGGCATCTCATGGGGTCCCCTACTGACCCCGGGCAGTGCCCAAGTTTCCAAATGGTCAGTCCGCCCCTGACTGGGTGTAGGATTATACTTTTTTTTTTTTTTTTTTAATGGTTGAACTGAATGCACCTTTTTCTTTTTTCAGCCAGACTAAGTATGTAATCATACAAAGATAAGATGTTGAGGTAAAAACCAAAGGAATAACGCTACTGAATAGAAATACAGGTTTTAATACACTTCAAAAATAGGGGCGGTCACCAAATGAACAATAAAAACAAATATTGCACATTGGGGTAAACATCCGACAATGGTTAGGTAACTGGGTAAGGTTGACAGGAGATTAATCACATCCTATAGGAATCTCCAGGAAGATTAGCAAACAGACAGAAACAATAGAGTACTCAATTAACAATGGGAATTCCCACCTAGAAGGCACACAAAGGGGAAACTACACAATGGGAGAAAGACACTTCACACCTAGACAGGATAGGCAAACACAGTTACATATTATTACCCTAAACACATAACACCTTAAAGTGGGTGCAACAGCTCAAGGTTTTTTACCTTGGTGCATTCTATGCATAAAGGTAAAAAAACTTCTGTGCAGCATCCCCCTCAGCCCCCCCCCCCCCCCATACTTACCTAAGCCCCCTCTCGATCCAGCGATGTGCAGTGGAGTCTCGGCTATCCCAGGACTCCCTCTCCTCATTGGCAGTTACAGCAACAGTTTTTTCTCCTTTTTGGATAAAGGATTATACATAAATGAATGAGGGTCCACGCACATTGGCTTGTAAAAGATGCTGTTTCTACAGGAGTTTAGCTTTTTGCCTGTAGAAGCAGCTCAGTGTTATTCTATGTGTCCATGCACATCAGGATGATTGGAGGCATATTTTAAGCTCAGCATTTAGGGACCATTCACACCAAAAACGGCTTGTAACTACGTGTTTTTCCTTGTACTTATGCATGCATTTGATGCGCACTATATATGCAGTTGACGTGCGTTTTTACATGCAGTTGACGAGCGTTTACATGCAGTTGATGCTCTTTTCTATTTGCATTTGACCTGTGAGGTCACTTCCTTCTTTTTTTCCTTGTACTTCTATGTGCACTGGGATGCATCCCAGTGTGTTTGCATGCGTTTTTAAGGTGTGGAAAAATGCAGCATGCTGTACTTTCCTGCACTGCACTGCAATGGTGTGAACTATGTCCATAGGATAGCCTGGATTTTGGACTGTCTATGCAGTTGGAGTGCAGTCCAAATTGCAGCTAACTGCATCCCACTGCGTTAGGTGTGAAAGGGCCCTTACAGGCAGAAAATGGTTTGCATTTTTGAGAGCAGTTTTCTAGCAGAAAAAAAAACACACTGAATGTCCCTAAACTCCCCTAAACTCCTGTACAAAAAAAGCTCTATATGTGTGTTTTGTTCTGCCAAGGAAATTGGTATTTTTTTAAGCCCAGTGTACTCAGACTCCAAAAGCGGACCATTGTAAGCACCCATGTCAATGTCAAATGGTTTGTCTCAACCATCTAATTCCCACTTTGCTGGCCAGACTGGTCATTTAAAAGAAGGTGAAAAATAACAGACCTACTGGCTGGATAACTGGGTAAAAATAAGGGAAGAAACAAAACTAATGCAGCCACCACATCTAAGCTCACCACATCTTGAATTGGCAAGCTACAATATAATACATTTTTGCTTTTGTGTGTATTACTGCTTTAAGTTATAAAAAACATCACTCTGAATGAGCACTGCAGGCTTTTCACTAGTTTTTATAAAGCAAAGACAGAACATTGCAAAAAACAGCAATTTTGCTAATCAGTTTGTACAGGACTATTCATGACATATGCAATCCCTATGGGCTTGCCAAATTTCAGATATTGCAACAGCTAAGGAACTTATGTTCCACAGTCTATGTATGAGAGCTGTGCTGCCCTTTTATATCTTTCGAGCTGCATCTTACACATAGTCCTGTGCCACTAATGGAAGGCATAGTAATTTAAACAGTTTTTGTCCTACCTTGAAGAATTTGAAATCCAACACTCAGAAGGGCTGCAATGGCAGCAATAGCAAGACACCTGTTTAATGTAATTCCATTCCAGGGAATAAAATCCTCATCTTTAAGGGGTCCCACAGTTTTTGGGCTCAGGCTTCTGTTTCATGGTGGCAATTCTTTAAGCTTAAAAAAGAAGAAACAAAAGACAAAATTAATGCCAGAAGCAAAGAAATATCTACATCATATAGACTCGGGTCTAGGTTTGGGCATGCCACTTCATTTTGATGCAATAACTGTTAATATGCTTATTCATTTTAATTTCTACACTTTGCGTGCTAAAGATGTCAGCTGACAAGATGGCTGTTGTAATACCCAACAGATTAATGTATACGCTCGAAGTCTAATCTGTGTTTAGACAAAGTAAAGCAGAAAGAAGTTTATTAAAATGCAGAAATGTTTATACATGCTTTGCTCAAATCCCAGTGCTTGGGGCAAGCCAAAAGTCTCAGTAGGTTTAACTGCTAGAATATATTTGGCTCTATTAATGACGCTTTAAACAAAAATTGAGGATCTTTATTTTCAGCCATGTGGCAGTAATTTTTAAAATCTCAATGGACTCATTTTATGAATTAGGCCAATTCTGTCAAGCAAAACACCCTTTCATCTCACCTTAAAATGAGATCTCTAGTTTAGTTGAAAAACAAATTTAAACAATTACCACTTTGTAAACTATATGAATGGCAAGGACTTTGGCATACTTTTTTTTTTATATATATATATATTCATACCTTTGTGTGTTCTAAAATAATTGTTGTTTGTTTCCCCATGTAATTTCTCAAAATTAATATTCTAACTGGGAGGGTCAGCCTGAGGCTAGGTTCGTACCTATGCAGTTTGAGTTTGATCCGTTTCCGCAGTGCTTTTTGTGGTGCGTTTCGCATTTTTGCACATGTGTTTTTGACTCATTTCGCAATTTTTTCCAACTTGTTGCTGGGCAGATTACAACACAAAACACGTCAAAAATGCATCAAAATGCACTGCATGCATTTATGCAGCATTTTCATTGAAGTCTCTTGAATAAAAAATGCAGCGTTTTGCATTTAAAAAAGTCCCTGACCCTTTCCAAAAAACACACCAGGTGAAAACACGGAGATGTGAATGTGTCCCATAGGAAATCATGTTAAACTGACTGCTGTCGGCAAGCGCATAGGTGCGAACCTAGACTGAGGAGATATTTGACCAAAAATGGAATGCTCAGTGCTGCTTTTCCTGGTAATTTTCAAATACATTACAAAATGCCTTTGTACTAACTATTGATTTTTAAGTCAAGTTTAATATTTGTTTCAATTAAGAGTTGGCTTTGTTGTTGTGCTCTTTTCTATGTAGTTGTTATGTTCATTTACATTCATTTAATAATATAAAAAAACACTCATAGTGCAAAATCACACCAAAATTCTCCCCCAGTCCTCATCAGTACCAAAATTGGCCAATCCTCCCTAGAGCTCTGCATTTGGCAGCACTGGTCCACTCTCTCTTGATTCCTGTCAGCATTGTATAATCTTTCCTTAAAGTGTTACTAAACCTACAACAGTAAAATCAATCTGTACAAGTAAAGCATGCCTGCTATACTCACTGTGGAACTTAAGTGGTTAATCCTCTGCATTGCGTAAAAAGGATGTTTGGTCCTGTCTCCTCTGATCCACCCTTCTACTGTCCCCATTTCATGTCCTGATAGAACAGATCCTTGGGGGCAAGCTGCACATGCTCAGTTTGGTGTGTGATGCTAGAGAGTTGTTTTTTTTTTCTTGGGAGGGTGCATGTGATCCGCACAGGGCCAATCAGCACTGTCCAGACAGAGGGTTAGGGATCTGGTAGCCTCATAGGACAACCAGGGGAGAATAAAAACTCCTCCTACAAGCTTTAACCAGTGCTCTGATGATTACTGATAGAAGTCACAAGACTGCCCTAACTGCTGATGAGAAAAGGTATTTAGCAGTTTATATTTACTAAAATAATTGCATTTCCATGTTCTGTGTACTGTGGGAGACCAGATAAAGTGAATGTAGGGTCCTGGGTTTAGGAACACCTTAACCACTTGCCCTCCAGAGGATTTGCCCTCCTTCCTGACCAGGCCATTATTTGCGATAGGGTGCTGAGTTACTTTAACTTTAACTGTGAGCACAGAGAAACACACATGTGAAAGAACAGCAAGGAGGAGGGTTCCAGATTTGCAGCAACCAATTCTTGGGGTACCTATAACCAGGAGAGGGATCTCTATCTACCTTATCACTTGGGACAAGAGGGCTCTCTGGACCTGGAGGTATATCGCTGCACCCAAGGCTGATGTCGTTACTTGAAGGGGATGACCAATGTGCCTTACTGACCTGCATATCTGACCGATCATCTGGATAATATTGTACACATGCGCATTTGAAATGCGCGGTCGGTGAGTGCGCATTTCTTCTATTTGATTCCAGCCATCTAGATGATGAGGAAACCTTCACATGTTTTTTGTTCATGATCACTTTTATTGTGTAAAGGACTATATGAACTTTTATTCACATATATTTTATATTAGTATCATAGCGCTGCACTATATATACATTACTTTAACTATCAATTGCGTGGTCATGCGACACTGCACCCAAATGAAATTTATGCCACAAATAGAGCTTTCTTTCGGTGGTATTTGATTGCCTGTGCGGTTTTTATTTTTGAGCTCTAAAAAAAAAAAAAAAAAAGACTGACAATTTTGAAAAAAAAAAAAAACATATTTTTTACTTTTTGCTATTAAACACATCCAGTGAAAATTCAAAAATCAAATTTCGTCATAAATTTAGGCCAAAATGTATTCTGCTACGTGTTTGTTAAAAACGAAATCACAATACGTGTAAATTAATTGGTTTACATGGAAGTTATAGCGTTTACAAATGGCGGTATATATGCTGGAATTTTTTTTTCTTTAAAACTAGTAATGGTGGCGATCAGCAACTTATAGCGGGACTACGGCGGGCATTCTGACACTGGGGGGAGCAGACTTGGTGTCACTGACATCCCCAGTGACACCAATACAGTGATCAGTGCTAATAAAAAGCAATGACACTGTACTAATGGCAGTGGGCAGGAAGGGGTTAACATGTGGAGCAATCAAAGGGTTAACTGTGTGCTGTTTTACTGCGTGCGCTTTACACTGTAAGCACACTGCTTTGTATGGCTCTGTTATGCAGAGCCATACAAAACAGTGTGCAGAAGCTGACAGGGGAGAGATCTGTACTGTTTACATACAGGTCGCCCCCCCCCCCCCCCCCCGTCAGGAATACTTGGAGATTGCTGGGTGTTAGCAGGGAATCATCGGCCGGGACCTTGTGATTGACAGCCGAGGCTGTGAATGGCGTGTGCCCCCTACCCAGAACTGCAAAATCACACACACACACACACACATACATAATATATACACATGATCTGTAGTTTAAATGAATAAATAAATAAATGTAGCGCTACTCACATAATAATATAATATAGAAAAATATATAGAAAAAGTACCCTTATGTACTCAATAACCAATAAACAGACTGTGTAGAATAAAACACAATGGTGACACAAATAAAATAATCACAAACCAGTGCCACAATCAAAAAAACAAATGTGAAGTACCTGTGAAACAATATAACACCATGCGATGTGACACGTAGATACACTACATCTAATAATAGTGTTCTACAGCTGGACTAAAACGTGCAAGTAAATAACAGTCAAGTAAAACCAGTGATACATCAATACCACTGCAAGGATTGCAGCCCTGAGGAAGTCACATGGTATTGTGACGCAACGCGTCGGCCTGACGTAGTGACGCACTTCCGGTGTGGACGCCATCTTGGCATACCTTTTTCCTATACCCATGCAGAGTCCACCCAAAAGCATGCAGTTTGAAGCGGTGAGATGCCGAGGATTTATGTGAGTGCACATTTATTGTATTTGGTTAGATCTTCTGGTGAATAAAAACATATTGCACTATGGGAGATTGTGTTTATGTTTGAGATACTGGCACATACCCATACCTTTCCTGGAGAGGAGCCACTACTTGAGTGCTGACCCCCTGAGAGGGAGATCTGTGTGCAGGGAGAGCAGACCAGTGGAGAGGCTGCATGCTAGAAGGATCAGAGGGTGTGATCCCACATACGCTTTGACCCTTACGAAGTTGTTAGGTGAGAGGAAAATCTAGCCGTCGGTTGGATTTTTCTTTACAAGCAGTTACCCACAGTCACATATCAGCACGAGTGTTGGATTGGAATAAGTGATATCATCCACTCATTGGACTTTGGAGCACAGACCAGACTTTCAGTTTGATCTAATTAGTGTGTTGTTTGCACATTATTTGCACATTTTTTGGTCACTTTTTTTTTGTTGCTTGATGCATGTATATTCATTGCACCCATTGAGTTTTTCATATACATTACATGTATTGATGGTATTTAGCCTCTGTTATATATTGTGGCACTAGCATTTTTTAATATGTATTTTCAATACATGTTTATGCACTGGTCCTATGTAGGTTTTATACATTCTATAATTGCAGTGGTATTGATGTATCACTGGTTTTACTTGACTGTTATTTACTTGCACGTTTTAGTCCAGCTGTAGAACACTATTATTAGATGTACACCCTGTTCCAAATTATTATGCAAATTCTATTTAAGTGTCACAAAGATTAAATATTTTGTTTTTCAGTTTAACTCATGGATGACATTGCGTTTCAGGGCTCTTTTGATCACTGAAAACAATCTCGGACACCTGTGATAATTAGATTGGCAGGTGAGCCCAATTTAAGGAAAAACTACTAAAGGACGGTGTTCCACATTATTAAGCAGAGCACCATTTTCAAGCAATATGGGGAAAAAAAAGGATCTCTCTGCTGCTGAAAAGAGTGAAATAGTTCAATGCCTTGGACGAGGTATGAAAACATTAGATATTTCACGAAAACGTAAGCGTGATCATCGCACTATTAAGAGATTTGTGGCTGATTCAGAGCACAGACGGGTTCGTGCAGATAAAGGCACATTGAGGAAGATTTCTGCCAGATCCATGCATCGGATCAAGAGAGCAGCTGCTAAAATACCATTACATAGCAGCAAACAGATATTTGAAGCTGCTGGAGTCCCACGGACA